AAATTGAATTATATCTATATCTGAATATAATCTATTATGATATATATATACTAAATCTCTATCTTTTTTAGTAATAATAATAAACTTATCTAAATTCTCACCATAATTAATTATTTATTACCTGAGATATTTTTTATATTCTTCTCAGGGAGTATATCTGAAGAGATATATTTTTGATTAGGTATCAGCTTCTTTATTATTAATCTTGAACTCATTATTAATAGGTAAGTCAGGAAATAATTTAACTTTTTTTATTGCTAGATAAGATATAGTCTCAAATTTCTAATTTCTTAATAATTTCTAAAGATTTAGATTTATCATTTATAGATTCTATATATTTGATCTCTGAAATTATGAATATATTAGTAAACTTAGATAACAAAATAATTAAACTTTCATTTGTTATAAAATTAAAGAGATTCTGGATCATATTAATAATAGAAGAGATGAATACTATTTTCTTATCTTTTTTAATTTGATTTGTAATTAATGGAATGAGATTTATTTTTTCTAATTGAGAATTTATAATTTCAAATATATTAAATACAGGAATATTTATAGATATATTGAAGAATAACTCAGTTTAAAGTGAGTCAGCAAATTTTTTTATGTTATTAACTGTTTTACATAACTTAATCATAATTTTAGATCAATCAAGAATATAGATCTATTCTCTTTTTCTATTAATTTATACTTATTTGCATTCTATACTAATTATTAGAAATGTTTTTCTAAATTTTTTATTAGTAAATGAATTTTTATCATTTCTTTCATTACTAAGCTCTTTATTTTCATTAGATATTATATTTTTTATATATTATAGAATTGGATTAATAATAGCTGAATTAATTTCAATTATTGATTAGACTTTAAATTCTAGAAAAAGGTTAAAGAACTTGATTTTTATTAGAGAAGTATGATAGAAAATCAATATTATAATAAAGAATTAGATCTTTTGTAACTACCTGATTTATCAATATTTTTAATTTAATTAATTTCTTCTGATATTCTGATATTTTAATTTTATACTTGATAAAATTCAGTTTAGATATTATATCATAATAAAAATTATTATTTGAATTTTCTATTTTTAAGTATTCATAATCTTGAAGTTATTTAGATATATATAATAGTTACTTGAATTACTTTATAAACTTGATTATGAATATATATTTTTTTTAATATGCATATATCAATTAAGTTACCCTATATGAAATAGTTATTTAAATCAAAAATTCTGGGATATTCTATTTTTTGAGGAGATGGTAAATTTTTTTCTGATTTTTAATAGTCTCATTAATAATAAGTTTTAATAAAAATTTTTTTATATCTTTAGATATATCTTATTCTATATGATAATAATAGTAATAATAGATTTTTTTATTTTAGATCACATATATATTTTCATTAATATAATCTTGATTACATAAAGAATAATGAGATTCTGTTATATATCTTAAAGTAAATATATTTAGAGAAACTGATATTAAATATAAAATATTAAAATCTTTGATATTCATTATTTTAAGTAGTTTTTTTATATAATTGATCTCAACTCTAATAATTTTATTATCCATTTTATTATTTTTTATTATTTCTTTTGGAATTTTTAAGATTAAATTATTTATAACCTATATCTTATCATTAGATAAGTAAAGTATAAAATCAAAAACAGAACTATCTTTTAAAAATATTAATCTCTTTGAATAAATATACTTATATATTTTTCTATTATTTTTATTATATTTTATTTCAATTATCTTCAGAATATTAAGTATTTATAAAGAAAATAAGCTTTTATTGGTGATATTATTAATAATATCTTTTTCTTATAAATTTATTAGAAGCTTTTTGCAAATAAGCTTAGTAAATACTGCAATTTTAGCAATATTTTTGAGTTGAAGATCAAAAGTTAATATATAAAGAGATATTTTTTTCTTGTTACTATTACTGGTAATAATCAATATTTTATGATTCCAATCTGAATATATTTCTAGACATACTTCTTTTAAAAATATAATAAAGTAAATCTGATATTTCTTTAGTTATAAGCTTAAGTTTAAATTTAATTTTATCAAATTTTTCTCTAAATAAATCAAAATCAATAAATAGATAAAGTGAGTTATCACTATCAATAATTTTATATAATAAATACTCTTGCCATTCACTAAGTATAGCTTCTATTCTATCTTTAATATCTGTAGTGAGAAATTATCTTGATTTTACACTATCATCACAAATTTTATATATATATTTAGTCATGCTCTTGACTTTACTCTTCTCTCTAATGATAAAATACTCTATTATTTTTTTTTTATTTCTGGCTCAAAATTTTCCAAGTTTTCTGGATTATTTGATCAAGATAATACTTCCACTTCTGCTAATACGTGATTAATACTTTCTATTATGAAACAAGTTCTTTTAGAGTAACTCTTCAAGTCATGAGCTTCACTCTGAAAATATTGAGTACTCATAGTAAGTATATTTTATTGCTAATATATTATTTCAAAAAAAAAGTTCAAAATAAAAATTAATTTTAAAGAATAATTATTAGTAGATAATAATTATTATATTGAAAATTATATAAATATAGTATTTTATTATTATTTCTATATTCTTAAAACTGGAAAAATTTGCAATTGAGATTATTATCAGTCTGAGAGGTATAAAGTTTACTAGAATTCTCTATTATGTATATCTTATAAAGAATATGATAAGTTAATTTATTCTGATTATGATTATTATGATACTCATATAGATAAATATCAAAGATGGAATTAATATCAACAGAAAAAGCTAGAGAAGATAGCATAAAATGAGATTATAAAAAATGCATAGTGGGTATATATATACTAACTTAGTATATATAGCTATTACTAAAAATTTTTTAATGATAAAAAGAAATTTTTTTGATGATAAAATTCTTATTGAATTTAATAATTTTGAGTTTATAAAAAGTTTTCTAGATATTTATCATCAAAGTCATCAAAGTTACCAAAAAAATTGAACTTCTTTAGCTTTTTTTTTCTTTTTTATATATAGGTATATCATATATATGTAGCATATATATTATATATATAGGATATATTATAAGTATATATGGATCTTATATATATTAATAATACATATTGAATATATTATAGAATAAAGTTTTATCTTTTTCTAAAATTTTATTTTTTTTAATAACTTCAGTAATAATATAGAAGAATAAGATAAAAAAGAATTTGAAACTGAAATTTAATAATAAATCCATCATCAAAGTTATTACTGAAGCTGTCACCAAAGATTTTTTAATAACAAATAATATATCTAATAATATGTATATAATATACTCAATATTAATTATATAATAGTATATATATAATATATCTGATAGTAGAAATATAATATACTTGATAGTAATTATATAATATATATTTAATAGCATACTCTTTGATGAAAATTCACTTACAATTTTAATCAGATACTAATTTTATAATCTTTTACTATTATATTATAATCTGTATTTAATTCTGTATTATATTATATTATATATCTTTTTTAAAATACTTATGACCATGGTAATTCATATTTTTCAAGATAAACATATTTAAAATTGATCTGAATTAATTAGATGTTATTATCATATTTAATAATAATTATGTAATATATATTCAATAGTATTTATATAATATACTCAATAGTATTTATATAATATATTTAACATATATATTTAGTAATATTAATTGATAGTATAATTAAATAATATATATATAATATATATGATAATAATTAAATAATATTTTCAATAGTAATTATGCAATATATATTAATAGCATTCTCTAATAATATTTATGATATATATATCAATAGTAATTATACATATATGTTTAATAGTATATCTAATAATATTAGCTCTCATAATAATAATATATAATTGATTATATTATCAGATATATATTTTTTTGTCTATGTAAGCTAACTGATTATAATTACTAAGTTAATATATATTATATCACATGTGACTTGATATATAAAATATACCATCTTGATATATATTATAAAAAGCAAAATATATATCACTTGAGCATAATCTAAAATGCAAAACATATATTATACTGATATATATCTCAGCAGTTCTCAATTGGTAATACAAATATGATCTATATAGTATCTAATACATAGATTATAAATATCTCATCTTTGATAAGACAAATACAAAATGCATATTATTTGAATAATGAGGTAAATACAAATAATTATATTACTAAATATAACAAAAATTTAAAAATAATATAAAAAATTATATTAAAATATATTTTATTTAATATAAAAATATTATAAATATTAATTATATTTTACAAATCTTTTATTTTTTATGTATTTATATTTTTATATTAAATTATATTTAATAATCAAATTTTTTTTTATTATTTATTTAATTATAATTATAATTGATACTAATTAAGAACTATTTAATAATAAAATAATCTTTTATTAAAGTATTTAATAAATTTTTTTTCTAAAGATAAATATTAATATAATGATTTAAAACTAATTAATTATTTAATTTAAGTATTAATTTCATATTGAATTACTTTAATTTTGCTAATTTGTCATTAAAAAAAATCTTTATTCATTTAATTATTTATTTAATCATTACTTCTATTTTTGATCTAGTCAGATTTTTCTTTCTCATTTTTTTTATCTATTTGATAAAATGATTCTGATACAAGTTTTACTTGCTTATAAACCAATTATCTCAATTATATTTATAACATTCAATAACTAATTTATCATTTTCATATTGATATTTATCAAAACTAGTAAGTTCATTTTTACACATTTCTTCAAAAGTTGAATGGTAGAATTTATCTTCTCCAAGTTGGCTATCATCAAGTCAGCTTGTGTAAATTTTATTTTTATTAGAAACGAAAGATCGAGGGTACAAGTTAAACTCGGATTAGATATTTAGAGCTAAGTAAAGATGATTTTCGTGTTGTATTCGATAATGATGACAACTAAGATTCCAAATTAGAAGAATACGATGAAGACATCATTTCTTGTAGCCAATTAGTTTGAACTAAAGTCACATATTTCATATAAGGTCTAGATGTCAGCACCTGTATATCAAAAAAATGGTTAGTTGACCAATTTGATTTGATTATAAAGCTTCAAACACAAATCATAGTTAAATTCTCACCAACTCGGTATACATGACAGCTTCAACTTTTTTGTTGCACATCACTGAGGATGGGTGTATGCTTACACTCTAGTAAAAAAGTGAATTTGTTAATCTTATGAAGAATTTTTTAATGTGTTAATTACTTGCCTGATTGCCAATTATCGTCTTGTATGTATTGTTAGGCTGTAATATTGCTGTATTACGAATGAAACCGCTTAAAAGGCATCTTATTAATCGATCATAATCGATTCCGCAGGAAACTGTATTCGAGATACCAATTCGATCACATAAGTGTATGAGTTGATTTTGTACATCCTAATAATTAGATAGTAAACATCATTGTTCTTAACTGTTTCAAAAGTATAATTGAAAATAAATATTTCTCACCATAACAATTTTCATATTACGTTTATTTATAAAGTTTTGTCGACACCATTGTGTATTCCCATTTTGATCTTGATATCCATGCAATACATTCAACAAGGTAATCAAATCACCGAGTGGTGATGCGAACTTTTTCTTGGATTCGGTAGCTTGATCACGTTTATCTTGTGGCGTAAAGAAAATTGAGTCAACAGAGAGAAGTGAAATAATAGAGATTGCCTCTCGTGTACAAGCCAATTCCTAATTAACAAATCAAAAGCTTTAAACAAATGAAACATTATTTGTTAAAAAAAATGAACCACTATTTGATAGTATACTTTTGACATCAATAAAACTCTTGCGAAAGCAGGTTCAAGAGGAAACTCAGCCATTCTTCTACCAAGATCTGTTATTATGCCTTTATTATCGAGTGCCTTCAGAAGGTATAACTGTTCTAATGCTCTTGTTACTGCCAAATGTTTAATATACATTAATTATGAGTAGCTAAAAAATATATTTTTGAATTTGTTACAAAAACAATAGCTTACATGAGTTTCTTGGTGGACAATCAAGATATTCAA